GGAATCTCACTCAGGACCTCAGGGAAGTGGCTCCTGCCCTGGCATCACCCTGCTGTGTAAGTCCATGGGGAGTGGCTGTGTTCACCTGCGGCTTACACACGCACACTCTGAGGAGAGTTATGGTTGCACACTTGAGCAAAGTTTTCTTTGTCTGGCTACCTGTCTAGCTTTTCTTCTGAGCTTTAGGTGTACTTCCACCCATACTATGGTCTAACCCATTGTAGGTAGCATACCTTGAGTCTTAGGTAAAAACCTTATCAACATAACCAATTGTTCCTGCTAGGTGTTCCAAGCAGTTCTGTGTTGTGCCCTATTATATAAAGTATATCTTAAGACTTTGGTAAAAAATCTTACTATTAACCTTATCAACACTACTAATGGTTCCTGCCAAGCATTTCCAGTCCATTCTGCTTTCTGCCCCATTGTACGTAGTACATCTTGAAACTTAGGTAACAATCTTACTATTACTCTTATCAACATATCCAATTGTTCCTCCTTACATAAAAGAATTAAACTGCATCACTAGTCTGAGTTTGTTAGACATCATTTAGGCCTATGTTCTGACTTCTAAACATCCCACAGCACCAGAACAGAACAAAAAAATCTGTCACTAGCAGAGCAAATCAGAAATTAATATAAAAATTTTTCCTCTTTATTTCTTTATGGTTTTTTTGGTTAGGTGACATAGTAAGGATAAAACAATCTGTATTTCAAAAAGTCTAAAATTTAGAATTTTATGAAACACAGCCCATTTTAATCACAGGAATATGAAAGAGATTACTTCAGAAGAAAGAACAATATTTTAAAGTAAATTAATTTAACACTTCCACGCACCCTCTTTTATTTATTTGTGTTGTAACACTGTACCACTGACCAGCATTTAGAAAACACTGGTCACCTGCTGCATCTGACGAGAGCAGACTGATAGATGCCATGGAGGAGCCAGGTCACTTTATCTTAAAATCATTCTGTTCAACAAAATACTATGGTTTTTTTTTTTTCCTCTTTTAGTTTCTAGCATTTTTGTACTGATTTTCAGAATTTGAAAACCAAACTCCATATGCTAAGTGGAAGCTTGGTTTATTTCCTCAGTGGAGGGAAAGGTAAGTTTTCACATCGTTTCACAGAACAAAACATAGAAATGAGTAAGAAGTGTGAAACACCTCTCAGACCCGACTTCTTTTGTCACTTTTCATGCTGGGTCCCAGTCTGGATTTCCCATCATCCTTCTTCTAGGGCAAGGTGCAACTCTGGGCTCTGGGCATGCATTTAGGCTCCATGGGCTACTGGGACTCTGCCGTGACCCAAGGAGACAGGATCACAATACACGTTCCAGTGCGTGTCCCACCTTCAAAGAGATGTAATGGTGGTCAGAGTGCAGACTGTCAGTCAGATCTCAGGGACTTCCAGCGGCTCGCTGTGCATGATAAGTATGCACCACTTGGAAATCCCATTTTTGAAAATAAAAATATGTGGATACCAGCCGTTCGTACTTCAGTCTGCTTCTGAGAGATCACAAGTAAGTGAAACTTCAAGGACAGCACCCAGCATGTGATAGTAGCTTAAGAAATATGTAACGTTGCTCTCAAGACACAGGAAGTAGCATGCTTCCCTTCTGCTTGGCTTTATTTCCCCATTACCTCATGCAATCACGTTAAGTTAGATGCTTAATGAATTTCAATTGGTCATTTAACATTAGACTCTTGGTATTAGTATAACAGTATGTTAAACTATCAGACTTTTATTTTTGGTAGGGTACTGTGCTCCCAAATACTTATGGAATTCTCACCAGAGCCAAGCTCTAATATCATATTCCTATCATCTGTCTTTGACCGTGAATATAGCCTTTCAATTGGTCTCATTGTAAAGCTAGCTACAGTGTCAGAGCAGCAAAGGAGCCCATCAATGGGTGAGGTGTAGATGAACTAAGGGTGTAACTCAGGGTTGGTCATACTAGCTGGTTGTATAGAAGTTCCCCAACATTTCTGATATTTTGCTCATATCAACAACTGCAAATTTTCACCTAACATGTCTAGGTATTCAGAGGCAACACGGTGACAAAATGCAAATAAGTAGGGACTCTGATTGGTTCATTCACATGATCACATACCAGGTCTGACTTGTCATTTCCTACTGGGGACAAGGACACAGCTCATGGTACCTGTACCCGCAAGGGCTTCACTCTGCTATGAAACAACTGCTGGTGAACATCTTATCCCTAAGTTTGATTTTTAGTATCATGTTTATTAGTGGGAAAATTATGCGTCCAGGACAGCAAAAATATTCTCCTGCCTGGACTGTGCTAATAACCCTGTGGGATACGCAGAAGTGGTATTTTTTTATATATGGCTCTATATTAATTAGAAATTACTACACAGGCACAGTATCTTTGAGTCAATACCCACCGACAAAAAGAAAAGTGCCAACTGATTGACTTCTTCTATATAAACTTTTGAAAAAATTTATATTCATGTATCGTGTGAGTCAAGCTTTTAAGATCGTAGTAGTTTCAAGTTAAAACCCCTAGATAAAATACAAAACAAAAAAGCAACAATTAAGTACTTCTACCAGAAAAACAAGTACTACTCATAATAACTGTTGCTTTTGCTTAAGAATAAATCCACACTTTGCCACTTGCTAGATATGTGACCTTCAGCAAGATAACTATCTGAATCTGAAAAATGGAAATAATTGTACCATAATATGTGACATTGTTGTAAAGCCTGACATGACCCGTTGCATGCAAATGATTATCACAGGACTTGGCAAAGAGGAGGAGCACAATGAAAAGGAAGAGCTATTATTATTGTTGTCATTACTATTATTACTATCAACATCATTGCGTCCATCTCTACAAACACACACGCACATGCACGCACACACACACACACACACACTTTCAGAATGTTTGCATGTCAGAATTGGGCTGCTGGGCAGTTAATACCTTAATTCAATAATTTAATCATTGCTAAATTGGATACTATGATACCAGATTAAAGTAGATTTATAGATTTGTGTGTACTTTAAGTGAAAAAAATAAAAATGAAGGGGACTTCACCAGTGTTGATATACAACTCTGTTTATGAATATACATCTCTAAAAATTAAACTGCAAATGACCACATTCATGTGAAAACTTCTAGCACATTCCATGCTTCCTTTATGTACCTGACCCCATACCTAGAGAAGCCCTTCCCTTATTTCCTGCAGTTGCACATGCTGTTTTTAATCCTCTCTCCTTCAGAATGAACCTTCCTCCTATCTTTGATGCCTGGAGCAAGCGCAGAGCCCATCATACCTCTGGTGCTCTTTGCTTATGATTTCATATTTGCAGATTTAATTACCCCAATTATATAACACGCTTCAAAAAATTACCTTTATTATATTTGTGCACCACCAAAAAAGAGTTCTGAGCCAAAAATAGGTAATATTTATTCATAATAATCCTCTGGACAGAAGCCAAGGGCTACAAAATTTATCATTTTACAAAAATCTCCAGAGGAACCAGCCAGTGAATTTCTGCAAAGTAGATCAGGAAATCAAGTAGAATGTCAAAGGTAACATAGTTGGTTCCCTGGAAGAAATAAGTTACATGATTTCCTTATCCACTGTCTTCTTCATGAAAAGTAATTAATGCCCACAGGAAAGACTGGAGCTACAAGCATAGTAGCAATGTGGGTTTTCACAGAGGGACTGCAGGGTGGGTGCAGCCCCAGGATTGCCTAAGGAGGTTCTGTGGGTGAGCGCTGTGGGCTCTGGAGCACAGCTCACTCTCAAGACCCTCCAGGAACAGACTCAGGGTGCTCTAATAGATATTCCATAGTCAAGCTTTCCTGGAAAAACCAAATTAGTGTGAGGAGCCAGTACCAGGCAATTTCAGTTTTAAAAATAGCCAGCATTATTAAGCCTGCTGTGGGCTTGTGAGCAAAAGAAAGTCCTTGTTAATATTTGCCTCAGCTTCCCACACTGGAACATAGAAGCTACCCTGGAACTGTCGCCTGGCAAACACTGAAAGACTGTAGGGTTTTCAGTTTGGAATCACTTTTTGGTTCTTCCCCGTGACAAAGTTTTAGGGGGAGAAGGGATTTGTCCCCCTTTATCAAGTCAGGCTTTGGTGAAGGACAGGCAAGGGATGCTCTGTCTGTCTCACTGGGGACAGAGCTGTCCTCCCTTTTCATTTCAGCTATTTATTTGCCTAATCGCTCTGTGAGGCTGGCAGGGACATCCCTGCAGCCCTGGCTGTGCTGACTGCAGAGACCCTACCTGGCACTGCAAGTTGGTGCATCAGCACTTTAGGTTGGAATGAATGAAAAATCAATCAGCAGGACTGCAGTGGTGGCACGCACACCTCTAACCTAGTTTGCCCATCCTTTTCAGCTGGTCACCGTAGACTCCAGCAGTGCCCAGGATGTAAGTGAATCAAAACCCACATGCTGTGCTGCTTAATTGGGCTGTTTTTCTTTTTTGGTTCTCTTTTCAATTCACAGTGAGCAAATCTCACCAGCTCACATGTAAACTGAATGTTGATGTTAAGTTTCATGCAATTATTCTACATCTGCCCTGCTTTCACAGCCAACTGTTTTTAGACGAAGTGATAGCCATTCACATAGAGATGTCTCACTGAGCTGTCTTACTAACTTTACTCCAAATTCAGAGGGTTAATTTTGTAAAAGCCTAGTGTTTTCAAGAGGCTGTATCTTTCCCACATCTTTCTGGAACTTGTTGTCACTCTTTGTGTCAAAACTAGAGTGTTTGAAATTTCTGGATTTACAGTTCTGCCAAGACAGAGTTAAACACTATTTGGGCTCTGGCTGCCTTCAGGGAGCTGGAATTGTTCAAAGCTCCCATCTTCTGCTCTCAGAGAGCTACAGTAGCTTTCTGGACAGATCGGGTTAAACATTTGTCCAGACTCGCTGGAGGATGATAAGGCAGTGAGAAGTTGTGCAGTGCAACCCTCAGGGTTCCGGAGCTCACGGCTCTCTCTGCGTGATGTCCACACAGTGAAGAAGATCTCTGTGAAGATGAGGAGGCTGCTTCTTCTGGTGCTGATTTCCATCTGCTGGGCTGACCATCACTCGGACACCTACACTCCGAATCAGGACAGAGTCATACACATCCAAGGTAAGAATGAAAGCCAGATTAATTTCAAGTTTCTTACAGCTGAGACGCTGGGCTCGTATTACTCCTGCTGCGTTAACTTTTTCTTTCCCTATCTGCTCATTGCTGAACACTCTTCCTGGCTTTTGTGAGTTCTTGCATTAGCAGGGAGTTAAGACCTGGGGGCAATGAAAGTTGAATGGCTTAAGAATGTCCAACTGCAGTGAGTTGATGCAGTGGAGTTTGGTGCTTTTTAGTGCAGCTGCTGCCTTCAAGCAAAAGGCAGGGCGTGAAGTTCATTGAAATGCACAGCAGGGCAAAGAAATGGGAAGTAAAACTTAGGCTGTCGGGTCATTCTGTTACAGTAAATGTGTGATCATTAGGAAAAGCAATGCAAATAACATGAAAATCAAACAAGCAATACCCAGGAAGAAGGAGCTTACCCTGTTATAATCTCCTTCACGAAAGCTTTAGCTCCTACAGACCGATGATATGCCGGTCCTGTACATTTCTGCTGAGCTCAGCTGAATCCTCAGCCCCGGCGCTGTAGCGAGACTGGAGGCTGCAGTACGTTGCAGGTCTCTCTTCCGTCCAGCTTTGCAGGGGACACCCTGCATTAAGAAAGCCGAGAGACCTGTACAATATAACAAAGGCTGTTCTCAGAGATGTGCCTTCTCTCTTGCCCTTGCCTGCTGAATAATTAAAATACAAATTACAGAATCGAGCAGTTTAAACATGTGAGGATATTCATTTTAGATAACCTCAGTTTGGGGGACCAGAGGCATTCTAAGTTTGCTAAGAGACATAAAACACAAAGTTGTATGGTCAAGGTCAAAAGTGTAGTCACGGAAACCTGCGTTCATTGTTGAAGTGTATGGCGTGTGAAGGTCGAATGGTAGTGCAAACCTGGCTGGAAATATTTTCCTGTATGCAATATGACTAGCAACTAAATACAATTTTGAATTTGTCAGTGTCTATATATTTTAGGTACTTCTCTTTCAGGATTTTTTGCTTCCAGTAGTTTTATATTTTTACTACTGAACCATAAAGAGAAATTATATAAGCATAAATTTTGCGGCACAAACTGCTGAGTCAGCTACTTCCCTAACGTAGCTAGTAGAACCAAAGATATTTCTGAAGACTAAAAGGTACATAGAGAGAGTTGATGAGAAATAATATCATCCTACTTTCTGGCTATAGAACTCAGTTCAGACCCAATGGTAATACCGAATTCATGAATAATGGCATTTTTAAATGAAATGTAAAATAAACATTAGATTTGTATAACTGTGGTTTCAAGTTCTTAGCAGATACTCAAGTTAAATTATAAATTATGTATAAACCATTTAGCATACATTGTACCCAATGTATGAAAATATTATTTTTAAAATATACCAACATTTAAAAAACTACTCCTATAAGTAAGATTAAAGTTTTCTCAGAGAGGAAAATTGCTGAGCTCATCCTGAATCCCCATCCTGGTTGTTGAAATTTAGTGTAAAGATGTTTCTGACACAAGGGGTCAGAATTATCCAGATGATTTGCGTACACTGTCCAGTTTTTTCAAATGCCTTGATAGTCCACTTCATTTTAATTGTAAATTCACATTCTTAGAAAGTGTAGGCTTGCCTCGGAGAGTTGCTCAGAGCTTTCCAGTAACAGAGCAATGGAGCCTATATTTGCTTGCACAGGTTAATACTGAAATGTGTTTTGGGTCACAAGATTATGTGGTTATGTCTATCAGGTAGGGTCTATTTTAGAATAGTTCCATATACCTATTCTCTTTTCCCCAATAACTTTCTTCCCTTTGCCTTTGTGATAAGAGTCAAAATGAATTTTCAAAATTTAGACTCCTTCAGATAAGCTGCTTCCACAGGGTTTATATGATTTCAGTTGCTTTTATGATGCAAAAGTAAATTATGTAGCGCAGGAGAGAATCAAGCAAACAGATACCTTCATTACTTTATTAAAATACTAGGCTGTTATCTCACAGTTAAAATACTTGCTTACTAAACATAGCCAAGAAGTAATTTAAGAAAGCTGAAAAATCTCAAAGGATTTTATAAGAATTTGTATTCAGGTGATAAAATTAGCCATCTGGATCTCAAATTCTTGAATTATACTTATAAGAAGTATGAACTTCTCTCAGGCATAGAGAAGTAATCAACACTGATTTGATTGCAAAAATACCTCTCAATTCTTTCATTTTTTATTAAATTTCTGTCTTTGTACCCTAAGATCCGTAGGCATAAATGACATTGTGGGACTAGTGTATATATCATCCTCAGAGTCTCCTTGGCTGCTCTGATACAGATCCTCAACATTTTGATAATTCATTCTGGAGTTTCAAGTGTAAGAGTAAACTAATTATTACTCTGAGGTCTCCCTCAGCTTTGTTACAGGAGATTCTGTAAAGATGTAGGAGCACAACTACTTAATCTGGCTTTATGAAAGAAAGAGAAAGCAAGAAAGCAAGAAAGCAAGACAGAAAGAAAGAAAGAAAGAAAGAAAGAAAGAAAGAAAGAAAGAAAGAAAGAAAGAAAGAAAGAAAGAAAGAAAGAAAGAAAGAAAAAAGAGAAAAAGGAAAGATCCAGGTAGCCAGAAAAGCAAATGGCAGGTGTAAATCCCATGCAAAGTGTTTCTAGTGCAAAATGTTTTTCTGAAGTGATAAAAGAAAACCACCCTACCTCTCATAGATATTAAATAAAATCTTACATGCACTGCATTATTCTCTTCAGTGTTTGTTGAAATAATTTGGTTACACAAGAAAGTACATTTCATGTGTCCACAGTCTGCTAGAAATATGCAACCACGACATTAGCTTATGTGTCTTATATTGTCCTCAGTGTAGGGAAAAGTGATGTTCTCAAGCATTTCTGCCAGCAAGCAGCTCCTGGAAACACTTTCTGGAGTATGCTCCAGTGGGTTACAGTTCCCATGTCATGATGTGCCTACTCAACCTTCATTTACTTTGAAACTTGACACCAGTAGAAAGGGATTTACACAGAACACCAAATCACACAAAAGAACAATAGTCTAAATATTTGAATCAGCTTCAAACACTTCTTGTGTGCAGTTTCAATTGCAAGTCTTGGTGGAAACTTTGAATTGCCAGCAGAAGTTCAGAGATGATGACCATATATCTTTAAATACAACATTTAAGAGGGCATTTACAGATAGCAAAGAAGGTTTATGACCTCTGGCATGGGCAAAGTAATTATAGTTGCACTGAACACATAACTGTTTGACCTTATCAAGATCAGAGAATCAGTGCTTCCTACACCTGGGCTTAAACATGTACCTTCTGATAAGTTTAAATCTTTCTCCTGCCTCTATCTTTTAGCATAGTCCTTGGAAAGTTTACTTAACCTCTTCAAGTCTAGTTATATCACACATAAGGGTGACTTTAGTTTCTGTTCCTTCCATAAAGCACTGTGAGATTGAAAAGCAGTAATATGTGTCAAAGTCTTAGTACACTGCCCAGTGCACAGTAAGCACCCAGCATGACAGTCAATATCATCGGGATTATCACTTCATTACTGTCATGGAAAACAGATTTTTAAATACATAATGGGCCATGGTCATAGTGGGAAAGTTTTCAAAATATATTTGTTGACACAACCATATCATTATTCCAGTCCTACTAAATATTTTATGTTGCCTCCTCTGTCTTCTTGAATTTTACAGTTGAAAATTTCTCTAAGATTAAACATTATCAAATCACCATTATTTTCCTCGTAGAAGCAGAAATACTTTTTAAGTTTAAGCAATGTTTTCTTTTAACGTTCTTAGTCTGTGAGCACAGACAAACCAAATTTTTCTTAAATATAACAAGAGGAAATCACAGAAATACAAATCGCTCCCATTTTTTTAGTGAGTAAAATCTATTATCACCTTTCTCAAAAGATATAACAACTTGTAAACAGAGAATTTTCATAAAAAAAATGTATATCCGGGACCACGGGCGGAAGTGAATCCTTCCCACTCATCACAGGCAGTTTCTACTTCTTCTGTGGGTGGAGAGTACCCCTCTGGTCCAGGTCAACGCATGTGGACTTCTGCTGATATCATGTGCTTCATGTCACCTTTGTAACATGCTGTGCTAGTAGTGCCTGGCACACAGAAGGTGCTTAATACATGTTTGTTGAGTAGATGGGTGAGCAAAGAGGTGGGCATGACAAGACTTCCCGATCTGCAGTACCATAAGTATTCTTAAATGCTGTGGCACCCCTTAGCAGCACATGACACAGTGTGTAGGTGTAAGGACCCTTAGCCACATGCCTGCATTTATCCTACAGCATTGGCATAAGCTCAGCAACAGTCCCCGGAAGCTAAGATCACAACGGGACTTTAGTAAAGACCATCTAGATCAATGTCACATTGGATAAATCAGGAAATCAAGACCTACACCTGTGTCAAGTTAGTCTTACATAGCTGGTCAAAGGCAGTTTCTCTTGGCTATTGCCTTCTGTTTACAAATGTGTGATCATGGCTCCCCTTTCTAAGAAAGCTCTCATGACTACTGCTCTCTGCCCTCACCTCTGCCATCTTTTATTCTTTTTCCTTTCCCTCTGCAACACTGGCTAAATTCTTGTTTTATATAATTAAATGTCATCCATCAAGGATGTACAGTAGTCCACAAGCGCGGGAATCCATGTCTGACCCATCCAGGCACTGAAACTCATACCTGGCACAAGCAGATGATCAATGTTTGTTAAAGAAATCCAGTTATTTTCCTAATCACAGTCTGGTCCACTCTTTCCAAATCTCAGGGAAATCACTGCAGTTTATGGGATGGAAAGCAGCAGAGGAGTATGGGTCAGACTGGCAACTCTGTGTGGTCCTATGTATGCCTCCCACGTCATAGGCAGTATCTCACACACCATAAGAGGCACCGAGGAGGGATGCAGCGGTCTTCCTAATGCATTCTCACAGGCTCCAAGAGCACTAGGTTCACATCTGGTCACTGCAGTGCTATCCAGTTTCTTATGTAATATCTGCAAAGTGGGGAGCTAGTGGTGCAG